CCTCCCCAAGGTTCCCCTTTCCATTTTATTCCTTTTATTCAATCTTGCTTTGATATTCTTTCAGCTTTTCGGAGACTTAACATTATAAGTTATCCGTGGTTCGGGCAACTGGGAAACAAGAAAATTCAGCATATTGTAACAAGTGAGTGCATCTGAAATATGAGTTATCATTAACTGACCACTGTGAATTTCAATGTCATAAAACAAACTAGGTGGAAACCTGTCAAACAGTCTTGTAGAGATTTGTGAACCCTTACATGATTTCTTTCCCCCACGCAAATTGAGTGAAAATTGTAAGTGCAGCATAAAAGAATCTCTAATGAAATAGAAACCTGACAGATATAACTTAATTCATGCCTTATGTCCAGTACACTCAAATGCATGATAATGTAGAAAAGTTGTGGCTTTAGATTTAACTTTTAAAAATATTATCTTATCAGTTTAATTCTTAAGCTGTTTTTAAGAAAGCGATAATTTAGAATAGTGCATATTTTAACCACTCATTCATGAAATCAAGATAGGGCTTTCCTAAAACTATTAATTCTAGTTGTATTTCACTTACATACATCAAATATTTATTCTTCTTGCAGTCCAGGTTAAAAAAAACAACAGGAAAACAAGACAAAATTATTACACTACCACCTCTACGCTGCATCTGCAGCATTAAGGAAAACAACAAAAAATACATCAGTAGTGACATGATGTACAGAAGACTATCCTTTCCTTCATCCTCTGGAAATGGTGGAAGTGATGTTTCAACACCAAGAATCATCCCACCAAGGTTACAGTGCAGTTTCTGCAATATCAGTTGAGAGGTACAAAAAAATCAGCAGGTACTCAGCTTATCCTACAATATTCTCAATAGTTAAGGATAACGACTTTCTTTAGCAACTACTCTTGCAATACTTGCCCCAGATTAGTGGACTTAATGGACGACTAATCCTAAAGTGGACCAGAGGAAAGGACAGACTGGATTTCTGCCAAGAACCCACAAGGTGATGATGCAAATCAAACCTTTAGATTTTGATTCAAACCTACTGGTTCATAGTGAGGTTGTTGAGAGCTGAATTACTTGAGCCATTCAGAAGTTACACGTCTAGTCTGTTAGTCATTCAGGCTATCTCTAAATCTAATGGACAGAGCTTGGCACTTCCAGAGGGTGATTCAGCATACTCTTAAGTATGTGTCTAAAACCACGCTTCCACTATCAGTTTAATCCAGTGCAACTCTGCATCTTCCTGTGCTCTAAACTCCCTTGAGGTTCAAAGGGAAATCATGACAACATGATAATTCACCTTCTAATCTCACTCTCTATGAGCTTTCATATGTCACAGGTCTCATGATATGAGAGTCAAAGGGTTTGGGTGAGAGACGTACTTAGGCAAATCATCAGCCCATTTTTTCCTAGAAATGTCACGCTCAATTTGTGTTAACTATCCTCCATAGTGCTTTTAAGATAAAATAATCTAGCCCAGAAACTGGGAGTGCATGCCACTTTTGCTAAGCCTGATTTGTCTATCAGGCTTTTCAGGAGCTGTGCTAACACATGCCCATTAGCTGCAAGGGGCGAAACCCCAGCAGGAACAAGGCGCCCACACACATTTCCACCTGCCTCCTTCTGGCAGGCACTAACACTTCCTGGTGTCTGAAAACAGGAGTCCTAAATGAAAAGGGAAATGACGAAAAATCCCAGAATGTGGCATACAGTTTATCACATGATTTGCTTTCATCTGAAAACAACTGATACTTCACAGCCATGACCTGGAGAGTGAAGCATTTCCTTTTCTGCAGTGTGGCATTTCACAGGTGACACCACAGTAGAGGATGGCCAAGCCTGTGCCAATGGCTGCTCAAAAACATTTGAGGCATCTGGCAGTGGGCAGCGTGAGGAGCAGCACCATGAACCTCCCTTCTTCCCATCGCAGAGCGGGAAAACGCATGCCTCACACTGGGCAAATCAGCATGGGGCCGCAAGAGCAGGTGCATCACCTGAACGCCACACAGTGAAATCATTTGAAAATTACAAAATCAGTGGCAATTTTATAACCTTTGAATGAAAAGGATTCACTAAAAGGTAACCGACAACCGATGTGGATGTTAAATATACAACTAGAGACAGGCTTCTCTGCTTGCGTGTAAAAATCAGGCTAAGCTAAATTAGAACATGAAAAAGTGATGGCCTTCTCAACACGCCTTCTTGGACCTTGGGTTTAAAATTTGGCAAAGTTATTTCAGTCCTTCCCAGAGAAATATTTCTAACTTGTAACTAATCTTTGAGGGTCCTGACGGGAAGATGAGAAGACGAAGATATTCAGCTAGGATACACAAGTCCACGGTACCTTTTGGGAAGGAAACACTTTGCTCGTGATCTTGATTGAAATGCCTCTTTTCTATAAGCACACTGCCTTTTTGACTGCTACTCAGCTTCAAAAGATAGCTTCATGTTGCAGCAGCACTTCATATACCACTTAACCGAGCTGTGAACACCCAGATCATCAAAAACCAAGACTCACACACCACGCTGGAGACCTAATTTAAATTGTGTATCTTGGTCCACACTTTTCAATGCCCAATTTAATATGGATATGCACTTAACCCAGGGGAATTACTGAAAAATCCTCATTCTGGTGGCAAATCACATCTATCTTTACACAGATACAACAAACTCAACAGCATCTAATATGTCACTGAAGTTAAAAAAAAAAAGAGACGACTCCTATTGCCCTATTGCCTTCTGTTGATATTGAATTAGGAAGTGATCAACAGAAAACACTAATATCTGCATCAAAATACCATATTAGCCCAAAGAGCTTCAGGAAAATGAAAGTCTTAAAGTAATAAAATGATGGGTTTGGGGATTATCAAGATGTTGTTCACAGTCATATCCTCTCCCTCTCCTATTTACATCATTGGCCAAGTATAAAAATTCTTCCCCCGCCTCTTAACAATTTCTCTTCAAAGATCAGGTATAGACTGTGGCTGGACTAGATGGACCATTGGTCTGCTCTGGTCTGATGAATTCCATGCAATAATGCTAATTAACCTCTTGGAGAATATCCATACATAAAACTGTTTCATAATTTATACATAGCAAGCATCTAGGCTGTTGTGTTGAATTTAGAATTGAGTTCAAGACAGAAGCTGGGTTGAAAAAACACCCTCCTCCTCAAAAAAACCCAACAGAAAACAAAAAAGCCCCCAACAGTGCAACTTCAGGACTTGGGAGAGGAGGTGGAAAAAGTATTCATTTTGGAGAGAAAAACAAAGCAAAACAAAACATAATCTCTCATCTCATCCACACTTAAGCACAACCTCTCAGGCCACCCACACTTACAGCCACATTTTCTGTTTAGGAAAGAAACCACAGATCAGCTAAAGTTTTTTTTGACAGTAACCAGATTTTGCAAACACTAACTGAACAGGGGAGCATTATTTTACAAACATAACACACTGAGAATCAGAAACTCGTTTGGCCATCCTCCTATCACCAATCAATGTAGTCATTTAGAAAGACTTGGAGAAAAAAAAAACAACACATCCATCCCTTCCTGGCCTGCCCAGATATATATCTTCTCATCAAATAAGACTGATTACAGTAGCAAGAAGTTCTGGGTTAATTCAATTTTCCTAAACAAAGGACAGGTTGTTACAGAAGGAATAACCAATCTGAAAAGGTTTTCACAAACATGGAAGCTTATTTCTTCCCCATCGAAACTGAAACAAAAAAATCTTTTATAACACATTCTCATAAGTACTGTTTTAGCTTGGGAACAAAAATCTTCTTTAATCCTGGTTTAGCTTTTAATATTACATCGTACATTAAAATTCATAAAGTAGTTCATTCCAGGCAAAACAAACTACTTTTCAGTTCTGCTCTGCAAATAGCACAGGAGGTACAATAAATGCTGTTGCTTTCAGAACAGCTTTTATCAGGACAAGGTTTACTACTCCATTATTACAGTGGCGCCTGGAAGTGCAGTTATAGTTAAGTGTCAGGGTTTCCATTAACTCTCCTCCATGGTGGTTTTTGCAGGGGGGTGAGAGGGTTGCATTTATTATTTTGTTCATTTTTACTTTCATTAAAATGCAACTTGGCACAAAGACTATCAACCTAAATCTCAAATTTTGCAGACTTAAAAATAAAAATTTTGCTGGGGGTGACGTATGACGTGTGCATGTGTGTGAACTCCAGGGCTCCACTGTCAAGTTTCATGGGAGCTGGTGTTATCCAGAGCTCCTTACAACTGAGGCTGACTGGTCCTCAAACACCAGCAAAGCAGCGCCCTCCTCAAGACCAGTCTTTCAAGAGTGACATCCTATCTCTGGGACCCAAGCTGAAATTGCTTTAGCATGAAGGAACTGTAACTTCTCTGCAGTCAGAGGGAGGCCAGGATTATATTTATGAAGATGAAGGTTTTTGTCAATTGACTACCCAGCACCATGACTCATGCAAGATTTGTGGATACTTCTTAAAACATTGCCTTGTTAAAATTATATTCTGCTCTCGACGTTACACGTGCTCTGTTTTTACACAGGATGATGATGGGCCCCAAGAGTTACCACAAATTTTCTTTGGGCAATATGGGTGGTGAGAAGGTTTTCTTCCTCAGTTCTGCTGAAATGGAGATTACTTGTCCTGAGAAGGAAGCATTCATAACTGTAGGATGGCTAACAAGCTTTAACCAAAATATTTTGGAAAAGAAAATCTATGACTTGGTCACCTGTCTCCATCCTCCCCCCAGGCTGTACTAAGGAGGAGGGAGTCCTCTTCCCCCCACCCCCCAAACTGCCCCGATGAGAGGGAGAGGCTATCCCTAGCACCTCCCTGGGGAACTCCATCCACCCTGAACATAGCTCCACACTCAGTGTCCTCTGAAGTATCCCCACATCCTCTTGTTCCCACACAACGTATAACAGATTTATCCTCTGAACTTGACTTAGGGATACTCAGAAAGGACCTCTGTGGGGTGATCAGCAAGATGAAGGTGTTGAAAAGGGGAAAAAAAAATAATAAAAGAAAGAAATAGAACAAGAAAGGACCTTTTTTTCTTCCTTCTAGGTTGGAGAGGTTAAACTATGTCTCCATGCAGTACCTACCTGATGGAGATGCTAATATTTATAAATTCCACTGCCCCAGGAAAGAGCCTGACAGACAGGCTTCTGCCCCAGCAGGTGGCAAGACGAACAACATCCAAGGGAAAAATTCTTGTGTACATCATCTCCTTGCACTCAGTCCACCAGTATGGAAGACAGTAGCAGACTTTTACAACTTGACCAGCTTAGAGGGCTATACATGTATCCCAAAAGCTCATGCATTAGAGGCTAATGATTTCAATTAAAAAAAAAAAAAAAAGATTTTGGTTTTTTGTTTAAGTCAGAGAAAAAGGGAGAAGTAAGGGGGACAAAGACCTTCTTAAAGGATTTCAAAAAAGAATTGGAAACAATCCAGATACATTAGCTCAAGTAGCAACTAGTAAGAATGCTGTAAAAATGAGATAAATTCAACACAGTTTCTTCTAACTCACGCACTAGGGTTTATGCTTGGTGAGTTCCTACTAGCCTATCAGACCTCCAAGGTCACACTTTCTGTTTTTGCATGCAACAGTATGCAAAATTCACACAGAACAAGCTCAGCTGCTAAATGGTTAAGTCTGCTCTACTGTCTGGCCACCAGTTGGCAACACAAAAATGCAAAATAGATCCTTTTCAGGATGTTTATTTTCACATCCTTCTGAAACTGATAACTTGCAATTGCAAAATAAACCTTCATGTGTGGCATATTAGCTCCCATTTTTCATGGTTTCATAGTTTAATTGTTTCAAATGTTACACTGGTCTAAAGATTTAATATTAAATATGTTGGCTCTTGCGTAAATTCTGTTGTCAGGATAAACGGTCTGTTTTGTCTTTCAATAGTTATCCAAGAAGCTCACAGCTAAGCTAGAAAAATATTATGCTGTATTCGTGTATAGTGAACTTTAAATAATTGCTTATAATAAATTTAGTAGTAAGGACGCTAGTAGTTTTATTTCCTTAGTATCGAATATTCAATAAACTGTGGACATTTTGGGGGAGTATCAGAGTAGTAGGTTGCATTAAGAAGTTTGCAGTATCCTGACTATAATTTATTTCTGCTACGATTTGTAAAGTTATACTTGCCAGGGCAACAACTAGAATAATTTCATTATTATTTCTAGCATTAAGTATTGTACTTATGTTACCAACATGGATATTTCAATTTTCAAACTTAGAGCTCACACTTAGTAGCAGGTGCATGTAGCAGTGCTACATGCATTTATAGGTGGGTAATGCCAGCAACATGTAAAAAGGTCGCACAGAATCCCAACTCAGAGGTTTCTACATCCTCAGTCCATCCACTAGGTAAAGTGCATATGTTTTGCTGAATGACAGAGAACAATATAACAACTAGAAAAATAACTGTTTTGTTCTGTAGACCTCAAGTATTAGTATAGGAGGTTTCCCTGTTAGCTTGTTTTCCTTTTGAAAAGGATCAAAACAAAACCGTATGCTGTTTCCACTTTGAACTGTTGCGATGAGGTTAACTATACTTCTGACTCCCACTAGAAAAATGAAATGTAATTATGAACAAAAGCACAGTAGAGACAGATAGATTCCCCCCTCCAATCCCTAAATTGGGACTTATAGTATGTTTTGTCAGTTAAGAAAACCCCTAAGTCTCACTTTCTTTCTGGCTGCAAGGGATTTATACAGTTTAAAGTGTGAATTAAAACCGATACAAGGACTACCTCTGACTCGACATCCTTCTGGAAAGTCCTGTAATTAACTCTGTTCTTTAGCTGTGAAATTGCCCAAGACCACTTGAGACAGAGTGAGACATTACCTTGGCAGAAAGACGTAAGTTAAGAAGGAGGGTTAGCCTTTGCTCTGAATTACCTGGGCTGTGGGAGCAGGTACAGATATTAAAACAAACTCAAATGTTATTTCAAACACAGTTATCTATATTTAACTATTTCCCACTAAAGCATTACTATGTAAATAGATTCTCATCCTTTATCTTGAAGAATAATCTGTAGTGGATTTCACAGACTAAACTCAGTTAATGATAACAAAACTAGACCATTAGCAGAGTCTGTTCTTTCTGCTAAAATTTTTTTCTCTCCTTGTGAAAAGTACTGCAACAGGTCAAAGTGATCTTTTGTCCTCCCTTTTCCTACCATTTTGTTATTCCTTACTTCAGTGTGGTCCTTAGCATCCATTAGCTGCAGGAAAATTAGAAAAATAACCTGGAGGAATTTATAGCGTTCAGAATGGGTATGGAATACAGTCATAGGCACATGCCTCAGCCTGGTTAGTAAAAAACTGCTCTGTGTTTATATACTCAACCATCACAAAATTCCCACAATCCCAAAGTCTTGCTTTGTATAGCAAATCTGGACTGTGTATACTGCACGATTCCCACATATCTGTAGATCAGTTTGTTTTGTCCTTGCATAGGTACTTGAGCCTATGCTGTGTCCTTGAGCCACAGCAATGCAGAGTATTTCAGAAAAGGTATGCTGTTTTTTGGAGTGTTTCATCCACAACCACGTTTCTTCTTTGTGGAAAACCTATGCATTCCTCTGGCTCACACCTGTATTTCCCACAGACCCTAAAACCAGCATCAGATTTCCCTTGACAGATACAAGGATTACACCACCGAATTTCTGGATCCCACTCTATCAAACTTCTTAATTTTGGGAGAGTTAAACCAATAGTCCCAGTAGATTTTACAGAAATCAATAGGAGTTTCATTTGAACAAATACTAAACGAAGCTTTAATGAACATATCCCAATCTTTCAGAGCAATGGATACAGCAAGCCTGTTATGTTACCCAGTTGTCAGTAGCTCGACCTAGTGAAAGCGTGCCCAGCATTTTGGGATGGAGTCTTCTTTCCCCCATCCCTTTATTTTTACCTGTTCATTTTCTGGAAGATAATTTTTAAGGCAATACGATGTACTCAGACTTCTGCTTTCATTCACACTCAGTTTAGTGGTCCAAATCCTTCAAAATCCCTATTTGAACCTCTAACATTAAAAACAACGCCTGAGAATTATAGGAGAAAGAGACAGCTAAAAGCCAGCATGTTCCAGGCCCAGTAAAGCTCGTATCTCAATAAAACAAGCAAAAAACTCTGTAGGGGCCATAATGGATAGAATTTATCTTAAAATGAGAAAATAGGTAGTAATAAACTGCTACTATCATCCATTATATTTCTTAAATTTAATTTGTGATATGCACTGCAAATAATGATTCTACCAGCATTTAAAAAATGCAACAGTAAAAGCTTTCTTCTTTTTAAGAAAGGTATCACCCAGCAGGACAGTGAAAAAGCACAACAAGCAAATGCAGAAGACAGAGAGAGTGGTTTACTTGTGGAGGCCGGCTGGGCGGTGTGCTTATGAGAGGCGCGGGCCCCATTGCAGAGGCTGCGTTCAAGCTCCTTTCCCTTTCGTCCTGGTAAATTCGATCTCGTTCGGCTTCTGGCAGCTGCAAGAAGTTCTGCATAGCCCGAAGGTTTACCAGTAAGGACTGTGAGGCAGTCTTGGGATCCTCTTCCTTTCGGAGGATTTCTGAGAGCAAGCCCTGTAGGGAGGGAGGAAAAAAAATGCGCTGGAGAGTTAGCCTAGGAGGAAAAAAAATACGCTGAAGAGTTAGCCTAGGTAAGTGCCTGTAAAACCGTGCTCTGCAAAGCCACTGCTTATCAGTCCTCTTTCTTCTTTCCACTGGGCTGAGAACGAGAGCAGCAAATGCACTATTCACTCCACATAGGAATATATTAATGGCAATTTAGGTAGCAGAGAAGAGAGCCTCAATTGTACCCTTAATTTTATTAAGCATCTGTTTTCCATACAACATAAACTGAATCTGCCTAATAGGTCTCCTTCCTTTTACTGGCTTAACTTGCCATGAAATCTTTCACAGTCGCCAGACAATCACAAGACGTTAAGAATAAGTGAAATACAGATAGTCCAGAGGCATGACACTGGCGTGTTCTCAGGCTTCCCAGACAAAACACATAGCCAACCTAAAGAAACAGCTTTCCACATTTCTAGCAACTTAAGCAGCTTTTTGAAAGGAAGTGGTATTTCACAACTAATCTGAGACAATAAACTCACAATGTTCCTAAAGTACTGCTTAACTGACTCAGGTCCATATTTTTCACAAGTCAATATTTTGAGAGTTGTATATTGGAGTTTAACAACAAGTGAGGAAACTCACTGTTGGATGCTCCCCCTCCTTCGCCCTTCTCCTCCTCCCACCATCCCCCTCTCCTCACCAGGACAACCCTAATCCTCACCCAGCCCATCGCCTGGGCTATTTATTTGAGCACTTGCTGTGCAGGTCCCACTTCCTAAGTCCATTTACCATCGTCGTTGTCCTTTGACCACTTTCAGAGTCCAACAACGACAGATAAAAAAGCGAGCACTGGGAAGTGGGAGGAAAACAGGGCATCCGTAGCAGCGAGCCAGAGATGGGCAGGCTGCAGACGATAGCATGCCGCCAGCAGCTTGTACAGACCACACCATGTTTCCTACGTAATCATTTCATCTCGGTTCTCAGCAATGGAGCAGGCCTGGCAGTCTGGGACACCTAATTACTCTAAAAGATGAAATATTTATAAACCTGTGAGTGCAACTAGAACTTTAATGTCAACAGGTTCTTGAAATCTCCCCCCTGCCAAATTCTCTTTTTAAATATGTCAGGCATACAAAACGCTCTACTGTCTTGAAGTAACAAGGCGGTGATAAGAAAACTAACTTTTGCAAAAGCAAGTGTGAACTTCTTTTTAGAATAAATGCTGTTGCCATGCTGGGACAAGGAGAGGGTTGGTATGGTAGGCTTTTATTGCTAGTGTAACACGGGAACATGGATGTGATTTTAAAGGAATAACACAACCTAATGTTTCTTTTCCTAAAGAATGTTGTTATTTGGGCTAATGGAGGGGTGAAGAGCGGAGGGGGGCGGGGGAGGAGGCAATCCTGACTGAAGTTATCCATTCCTAAAGGGAGTGCTACAGAAAGCTACGGCCCAAGCATCAGGTCCTGCCACCTCTGTAGGGAAGTCTGATGCTCACAGCACCTATGGAAGTTGTCACCTCTCCCAAAGGTCCTACCCTATCGGGCAAAAGCACCCCAACAAAGGTGCTGTGGCAGAGCCACTGGTCTCAGGCAGCTGTGCTTAGGCAGGGTCAGAGCCCACCCAGTGCAGCTCTGAGCTCTGCATTTGCCCTGTCACCCCTCCGTCTCTCAGGGACAATGAGGATGGAGGTGCTAACCACTACGCTGGGGCCAGTGTGGTCCTCATGGCCCTGTCTGTTCCTCCACACATAAGAGGGAAATGGGATGGAAAACACAAACAGTCTTTCCAGCACTAGGCATGAAAAATAATTTGGACAAGGATTTAAAAAAAAAAAAAAAAAAAAAAAAATCCTGCGACATACTTTCTTACCACTATTCTTCATCCCTCCTCTTTTCTGGTATCCAGTCTTCATCAGAAGGTAAACAAATGAGTTAGAGACAAAAGTGGCGTTTGGGTGGAGTATAAGTTTTAAAATTTGTCTTAGAGATTAGTCTAATAATGAATTTACTTATTTACAAATATGGAAATTAAATTCTTGTCTACCATTTTTTTTCTACTTCTGAGTACTCAAACCCACAGTTACTATTCTTTGTCAGTGGTAGGGTTACACAACCCATCCTCCAAGGGAGGCAAAAAATGATTTTGTGCCACTGAAGGCAAAGCTGTCTGCAGAGCACAGGATGTATGATGGAGGTGTAAACACATGTGATTTCTGACTGCTACTGTGCTGAAAACAACCACACCAGGATTAAAAAGAAGAAAGAAAAACTAAACTCAAGTGGACTGATCATTGGCAGGAGAGGAGACTCCTTGCTAACAGCCAGCCCACTGTCAACCACAGGAAATGTCCTTGAAAAATACTTTAGCCATAATAGAAAATATTTGCTCGTATAAGACTTTGCCACATAGTGGGCAGCTAAAAAAAGCAGAAAAGGCTGTTTTTCTTGTATAACTTTTCTCCCCTCAGTGAAATAAGTAAACAAAGAAAATTGGTTTCTGTATTTTTCCTGGGTTTGTCAGTATAACCATTGCTGCAGGACACCTCTTGGTGATTAGAAATGCCGTTAAGCATTCATTCCCCTCTCCTTCCCCGATCACTGCCGTGACTCTTTGCATGAGCTGGGAGCAGAGCAGAGGACACAGATGGGGAGAGAGGAGGGGAGATGAGAGAGTGGGGAGAAGGCAAGGAGGAGGCGTTTGCTTCTAGGAGCTTTGAACCTAAAGGTCAGAATATGTGAGGAAATAACATGAAAAAAAAGGTGCAGTACCAGGTGCAGGCAAAGTCTTACAATACAGTTTGCCTGCTTCAAATATTACTTCATTGCTACTACATATGCTTCAATTTTATGAGCACCAAACTTCAGCTAAAGATTGTTAGACAAGATGTAAAATGGGAAAATCCTAGAAAGAAAACATCAGCTCTCACGTCCTGCCCCATGCTGACGTGCAGAGATTTACTGTTCGTTTTACCAGGCTTGAACTGGTTTGCCAAGACACAAGTCTTGGTGTGATCTTCTGGTATTGTACCTCAGGTTGCATAAAAGCTAAATACTGTTTTGCACAGAGCTTATAAACACCATCAGGCTGAGAGTCCTCCTCTCTGTTCCTCCCTTGTATTCTTTTCTCACTGGATATGTATTTTCTTAAAATGTTACCAGGTCCCACTGAAAAAAAGAAAGTTTACAGATCATCACAAGTCTAATTCATTACTAATTGCACAAAAATGTTCAATAAATATTACCAGGGCTTTCAAAAGCTAATTATGAATTCTTTAAAACTGGAGATAAACGAAAGTGTCTGCCAATGTGAACAAAAACACTGCCAGGCTGGCCCCCAGTTCGTCTCCTGTTTGAACGTAATTGCTGATTCAAATAGATTTTATCAGCCTGATAAAACTTCAAAGCTCCCAGAAGAAAAATGCAATTTGCCCAAACCTCCCCAAAACATGCAGCACATCCCTGAACGCTATCCCTTTCTGTTGCAGGGTGCTCCCATCCCATGTCCAGGTGGAAGATTATTCGCAAGCTCCACCCACAAGCCTGGATCCCTGCCAAGTAAGTTATAAGCAGACACATTTATCTATGCCGCTTAGTAGCAAGAGGAGAGCTGTCATGATAGTGTAATAGCACCTTTTTACCTTTTATTCAATAGTGATATGGATAGCGTGCTTTTTCTTAAATTACACTACGAAGAATTATATGAATACAGTGGCAATTTCTGTTATACTTAAGCAGGCAAATTTCTCTCTACCACATAATTTACAGAACTCAAATTCAATAAAACATTACATGATGGTCCATTACTGTTATCAATTTTGAATAATCCATCTTCATTTTTCATTTTACTGGAAAATAAAGTGTGCCAAAGACAAAGTGGAAGAAAAAAAAAAGTGCCTGAGAAGGTGGTTTGTGTAAACTTAGATTTTGTTTTAAAATTACACGGAGCCGTTTACTGCATCCAAGCGTTCTCCCTCGAAATAGCAATCGCCCAGAATTAGCATGAGCACAATCCTAAATACACAGAAGTTTTCACATATGAGAGAAGGCATTACACATGAACGAAAGGCAATGTATCCTGGCAGCTAATATTTTAAACAAGCATGGGGGTGAAGTAGAAAGGAGGGGGAGAGAAAAGGTATCTGGCAGAAACACTGAGAAGTACTCAAAAACCTTGAGATGAAAAACTGTCACTGGTGGGAAGAAGAAAAATTACAATAGTCAGACGTGGCAAAAGCAGCAAAAAGCACTCCCCCTCCTTTCGCGAAGATGGAGCCGAGAGGTCACCTCCGTACGGCAGCACCCGAGTTCATGCAGCAAATGTTATGGTTGAAAGTGTACACAAACAGAGACAGGCAGCCCCGAGTTACAGTTCCAACCACAACCATGACTAACACAATTCCTTGCTCGTACATACATGTCACCCTGCCATGCACCAGGTTAAGCTACGCCTTCAAGTCAAATGTCAGACTTGCCTGTGGGAACCCAAGCTTTCCGTTTCCTGACTCATGTTTACATTTACAAACACACACAACAGAAAGGGTAGAGGAGTTTGCTTATTTGTTTAGGGCTCCGAAGGTGGTTCAGCGGAACAAATGCCGATGCTCCGCTCCAGCTCCCTCAAGAAGAACAAAACAGAGTAGAGAAACTCCCAGTTTAACTGCAAATTGGGGGGGGCAGGCTGAGCCTCTCTGCTGATGGGAGGCTGAGGCAGAGGCTGGCGTGGGGCACCGCGCTTTGGGAGGCTGCCCCGATGCATCGGCATCACCCCGCAGCTGCTCGGTGCCACCCAGGCTAGTAAGCTGATGACAAATGCCATTTTCTGACCAGCAAAGTGCAGGAAAAAACTGAATTTGCTCTTTCAAGAGAGCGGAGGTGCCTGCACAGTGCACTGACATCAGCTGGAAAAAATACTACGTTTATTAATTCAGCCAAACGGCAACTGAAACATAACCAGCTCAATTTACTGAAATTACCCTAGCAAATATAGAGTGGTACACACATTTGGTAGCCATGCTTGAGGTGAAGCTCGGATCTGCTAGCACAAATCCTGACTCAACAAACTTTTCCATGGTACACTACAAAGAGGTGCTAACAGGATTCAGTTTGTTTCTTTGCAGCCAGTGAACTGGAATCGCAACTGCCGAAGGACAAATAACACTTCAGACACCACTGTGCTCTGAAGCCCTCCTAGAAGGACCACTGTGAAATTTGTCATGGGGAGAGGTGCTCCATCCTCCAAAACCACTTCTGCTCCCTACAACAATTGTTCTATTGTGCCTGGATAGATGCTAATTTTCATTCAAGTTATAGCTTTCTGGACTCCTCTTTGATTAAACTTTGCAAGGCATATTCCTGAGAACTACACATTTTTGAAACTACCATTTTGAAGTTAAGGATAGGTGGGAAGTTATCCAAGAAGATATTAAGGACACCTGTTCAATTTTCTGAGGTGTGGCTGAGAGTTTTTTTCTGCCTTATAAATAGATGACAATTAAAAAAAAAAAAAAGACACCCTAGTTTTCAGAAGTAATTTTACCAAATTCTTTCCTTTGGGCTGGGAGGAAGCAGAAATATTTCTAGTCAACGTTTTTCCCCCCAATCAAAAATTCTTGGAAATTAGGGCCAAGTGTTGAATTACCACACTAAGTTGGTAGAACCCCCTCTTCCCACCCAAAACCCCCATCAAATTCTGTATTCATATTGCAGAACACAAGTCTGTAAAACAAGAGGTGCCAACATTTTCAGCCAATTCAACCAAAGTCCATTTTTATTGCCAAAACATTAAGCTAAATTACTCTTAGTTTATAGTTCACTTCCTTCCTTAACTTTTACACTGAAAGCAAATCTCTCCCCTCATCTGAGACTGTATCTCGACATCAGGGTTTTTTTGCGCAGAACTCCTAACCGATTTCAGTGAGATCTTCTGCTTTCAGAAACTGATGGCATGATATAGTCCCTGGACACGGCTCAAATATGCTTATGACAGTTTCAAAAATGTCAGTGGTAAGCCTGAGTTAGCTTTTTATCTCAGAAAACAGTAGATGAATTTAAAGAAGCATTTTCACTTGCTCTAGCCAAAAAAAAAAAAAAAGACAAGAGATATTACATCAATATTAGAAAATAACATCTAAATAACATGTTATTAAAGTGCTGCCCTAATTTTAGTTAAATGTGATGTATCCTTGAATAACCTGAGATAAATTTCAAAGTACAGCAAGCAAAATAAATTTAAATGCTTTCTTATAAGAATCATGGGTATCTCTACCTGTATTTATACTTGGACATTAGCTGTTACTGTGGGTACAATTAACAATTTTCAGTTTTGCAAAGGTGAAATGCGCCTACAACAAACTCCTCCGGATTTCAATGGGGCTTCGCTTCATATTAAAAGTATGCTGAGATAATTCTTGGCAACACTGAGGCTAATATTGCCTAGGCTCCTAGTATTCTTCCTTTCTGTTCCCTATGTTTGCCACAATACATAACAAATACTGCAAAATCTTATGTAGCTGACTGCAAATACTCATTTGACTAGCTAACACAATTTGTAGGGTGTAGGGATACTACTCTGTGTTCTTTCAAGTAGATTTGGTTGAAAATTGCCAAAATATATTACATATGTATTTCATATCTCTTCATGGGATTTGTTTTCAACGTTCATTTTGGGGTTTCCTCCCAGTTTTGGGTCACTTTGAACACATTGTACTAAGATGGTTAACCACAACGTCTGTGGAAGAATTGAACTTTAAACAAATATTTAGTAACATTTGTAGTAAGAAAAATATATAGTAATCAGGAATCAGTATTTGCACTAGAAATCTGGTTCTACAGTTGCATTCATCACATCTCAAGAGCATCTTCTTATAGCGTGTCATATAAATTCAATGTCCAGTCAGAACCAATTGTCCTTGCATTTCAGGTAACAAATACTGTTCATGCACAAATGACAGACACCAAAAGCTGTATGCAAAACTAGCTGACAAAAAACGAACAAATGACTTTGGAGGGTGGAGGAAGCTGAGAGAAAACAAGCTGCTTTTAGGCAAGTCTGAGAAAGAAGTAAATATCTAATAAACTATTTATTTTCTGAATTATTTACTCGGCTTTTTGCCCAGGTAAGATGGCAGCTGCAAACCACAGTAACCTGAAGCTACTATTATTATTTCAATGCTTTATAGTATCAATAGTTAAAATATTAAACATTGTATTAAACGAAACTCTATGTCACTTATTTGTAAATGTAACAACTGACTCTGCCTGAACCTAACTTACATAGGCAATCCTTGCATGAGTTCATGTTTCCCATGAAATTTGGTATGAAAGACCCAGATCTTGAAAACCCTCCACTGCTGTTAAGAGGAAAGACACACACACACACAGAGCTCTACAGAGTATTCACACTATGACTCTACTTTCTTTTAGCTAAAGGAGAATGTAAAAATTTTTAAGGCAATAATAATTCAGAACAATTACAATTGACATGCTGATTCAAACCTGGTACCAGTGCATTTGAAACAGAATTTTTATTCTCTAAGCTATGCAGGGAGAAGCATCAACATTTCAAGACAAACCCAAATTATGGTTTGGTTTTTTTTTACTATATTCTACAATGGACAAATACTTGTTCCTTAAGTTTAAAAATGTGGAATCAAAACAAATTTACCAATGTCTTTTTTAACTATTTCCTTTTAAAAAAAATTCCTATTTTATTTTCTGTTAAAACAGACTTCTAAAATTTTGAGATCTTACTATTTGCATTGGATATACTGACACTTCTTCCATAATTTCTGCTTGATTAAATTCCATGCAACGTGGCATTAAGTTAAATTCATAGAGCAGAATAAATTATAACAGGGTTAGCTTCTAAAACAGGTGTAAAAAATAACACATTTTAGTGTTACTTATCAGCTTTGCTAGGGCTAGTTTTTTCTGCATTGAAGAGCTGAAGTATATGTTCTGACGTGGACATCGGCAATCTCAGCAACTACTGTTTTTGCAACAAACTACAAAAATACATGAAAAGAGTAGATGATCTAAAAATAAAGCTTCTATTTTTTAATCTTTTCAGAGGCCTGAAAAGATGTTATTAAGACTTTCACTACAAAATAATTAAAATAAACACAAACAAGAATAAAAGTCCATCTCAGGTACACCTGTAAAAGACGACAGGTTGGTCAGTGCATGCATGTGGTCAGTACGGGTATACCTTTGCAACACAAAAGGCAATCTGTTGGGTGAATGGTTCTGCATAGAGCTGTTCATGTCCTTTCCAGGGAAGATTAAGATATTCATAAACCATCACAATTGGAGAGGAACCCAGGTGTCTGTAAGAACAGCGGGTATTGCCACAAACCAATCACTGAAGATTTCTTTGCTGTGTCAATGTGGACACTGGTCCTGCAAGGAAGCGTGGTTCCTTCACAGGAGCTAAGTGACAAGGCAGAAATGAGGAGAGAGACTTAAAAGGTGATAATAACTAAATAGAGAGAGAAAGAAGGGACTCTTAGATTTTAAAAAAATAAGAAAAAAGACTACTGACCTGAGTTCGGTTAAAAGCCACACGTGCAAATACTGCCTGTGAGATTCCTGCTCGTTTCAGTTCGTCACGGACCCACTGGTAGATTTCGGAAGACACCTCTGTGTTTGTTGAGACCTGCTGCTCCAACGGCTTGTTCATGGATCTACTAACAGGAGGAGGGTGGTTCAAGTACTGTTGGTTTAAGGACTGCTGGGCTAGAAGTCTGTTCACTGCATACTGCTGGTTCAGCAACTGGGCCATTACCAGCTGCTGATTTACCAGCTGAGGGCTAATGGGAGTAGATACAAGTCCAGGGTGCAGGTTTGGAAGCGGGGTCCGAACTGATGGTTGACTACCATGAGAAAGCTGAACAGGGGATGGAGGCTGTTCGGCTGTGTTCCCTGGGACCGGCTGCTGACCGAAGTTGACATGGTTGGCACCTTGCTGGGATAGTTCAGAAAGGCTATCCATCTCAACTACGGTGGAAAAGAAACATTGAAAAAGCCAACATAAGACTGAAAATCACAAACTTCACGCTCCCCGCAAGATGTGCTAATAAAAATAAATGTAAAATGGCGCATTCACGTTCAAGCTTACTGCACTCTCCAGCCTAGATCAGCAGGCTCATAACATCACTGTTGTGGCTATTTGCCTTCAAAATTTACCTACAAATAATGGTGCAGTGAATATTTTTTTAAAAAAAGCACCCAACAAACTGCCCATCATCATCACTGGGCCCTTGGAGGAACCAGCAGAACATCAGAGGCAAAACCACATGCTGGAAACCAGGTATGGCAAAGGAGTAACTTCCTGAGAGTTTTGCAAAGGCACAACGCAACCGAACCGCTACCGTGCGGCTGCAGAGCGCACCCCCGCAGCGATGGATGCAGGGGACTTCAGACAAGGCAGCAAGCAACTAGAGAGGGGGCAAAGGCGAGAGATGGGAAACCACTCTGTGCGCTGCAGAAGACGCGGGTGAAACGGTTAAGTGCATCTGCGCAAAGGGTAAGGAGGGCTGTTAAGGGAAAGCACACCCTGACCAGAGAGAAGAGCCCCTGGTGACTGGTTTTGTTCCTCCCGTGGTGTCCCCGCCATGACATCCACAGTTCCCAGGCACTGGAAATCTGTAACAAGCAGGGTGGGGTGTGGACCTCCCCATGCTCTGCTAATTTCTAGATGCTGCATCAATTGTATGGGACTGCTAGGAACTAGTATAATTTATGTAAATTACACAGATGGGCTGCTTTATCTTGCAACCATGTATGCATGTTTTTTTTCAGTGACTTGCAACATGGTTGATTTTTTTTCTTATATTAACTCATCTGCCTTGACACACCCTCCTTTTTAATTAACAACACAGTTTTTTAAACTACAAGAGTTCTTCCAGCTCCCCTCTTGTGCATGAAAAGACAATATAAAATAACTGTAGGCTGATGTAAAGGAGTCTCCTTCTTATCAATGCATGTCACTTTTTCATTTTAAACAATCTCAGTTCTAGAGCTTTAGCAATGCTGGTCTGGAAATAGCTTTAAGAAAATATGCTTTATTTAAAAACCAAGCCTCCAGTATCTTCACAAAAGTGTTGTAACGATTTTTTTCTTATACTAGTAAAGCATATTTTTTTAAAAAGGGCAGTGTTTGCGCTTTTCATAATAATTATGATCTTCACTAACAGTCATTCAGTGCAAGACCACCCTTTTCTCCACAGAGATGAGAGCTGGAAGAAGAAATCGGCACCTGGATTCCCACCCACAGCCCTGCCTTCCCCCTCTGTCCTATCATGGGCAGAAATTAAAAAAAAAAAAAAAAAAAAAAAGAAAGCGGGTTGTTCTGCAGAGAGGTCTGGTGCCCATAGCCTGGATCAGTCCCCCAGCGGAGCACCCGCTGCCCCTCATCTGTGTGGCTTTGGGGGAAGCACGGCCTCTCCCCCCAGCATTAGGTTACACAGGAATACACACACACACGCGTGCGCGCGCACATTTCCTATGCACTGGTTTCATTGTCCCCGAATGAATGGATGGTGAACCTCTCTTGGCAGACCATGTAAGGCAAATTTTGCAAGGGTTTCCCCATGCAGGAGCGCTGCAGCAATGGAGGTGGGAGAGGATGCTGCGGAAAGGTCACCTGCCCATGCAGGTGCTCTGCTGCCTCGCACATGGACCACCTGAAACCAAGTGAAGTCTTACTTCACTTCGGTGGTCTCAGAAGAAGGGTTCAGTGTTGCACAGAAGGTACAAAGTAGATAAAGGAAAGAAGCTGCCTTTTTTCACGAGCGGAAAGTAGAGATCAACCCAAGTGGGCCATTCACTTGGAATAGTAATTCAAGCAATTATCACAAAAGTGATGCATTGTCTTCATTACAGCCTTAAGCTATAAAAGGCAAGGAACCCGTTTTGGTAGATGAATGATTTCGCTTCAAATACTGAAAGCTAAGTCAAGCTCAAAATTCAATCCAAACTGAGGTCCTATTTCTTCATTCTGTTGAAAACTACATAGAAATTTTCTGACAAAGTGTTCAAAATTATGTTAACAGGTTTAAGCAATAGTTTTTAGAAGGGACAATACAGAAAGATAAAAGGTATTACAGAATTAATATGTCCCACTGATGGATTTTTTTTTCTCCAGTAATTTACTTGTGCTTACTACAAAAAGCAAACAATTGTCACAACAACTATTTATTAAAATGAATTGAAATCAGGGTCCCAAAGTTAGAGAAAGATATGAATTCATAAAATTATAGCATTCTTGTTGGAAGGCAGCGATAGTTATAGAAGCCTGTTTCTTTAAATATACATTAGCCAGAGCAAGAAAAAAATGCGCACATTAAAAAAATCAGTCCGTCACAGTTCCAGGAGCAGGTTTTTTAAACAATTATTCTGGGCGGTAGAAGATCTCTGGATTTACAGAATGACAGCTTTACATCTCTGGCAACCCAAGTCAGTTTGGCTGTTTCAATAGCAAATATTTATTTAAATGAATTCTTTCACTATATAAGTACTTTCTACCTCTACTCATCAAAAGCGTCCTAAACTTATCGTGAAGGAACCTGGCTTCTTATATGACTGTGACAGACCTCAACGTGACACATAATGGTATGTATCCACCATCACGGCAAATTTTTTTTTTTTTTTTTTTTGCTTACCCATCATATCTTTTGCCTTCTTGAAATGTTTATACCACCTTCCAAATTCCTGACATTTTGCTGCTGAGACATTTGCATAGTAAGTGCTGTTCACAATGGAAGAAATCATACTCTGTGTGAAAAGGGGAGAAGAAAAAAAAAAATCTGTAATACAGAGCAGTACAAGTCAAAGCACAAATGATTGGAATTGTTGAAACCATTATATTTTTAGAGTTTGAGAACCATATTGCATTTTTAATCCTATCGTCCAAAGCCTTTTAAAAAACTCATTAAATGAGCATAAAAACAAACCAAGGTATATTGTAAGTGGGAGCAAAAAAAGCAGATGTACTAAGGGAAGAACAAAGTTATTGACCAAGAAACATCAGGCAATGGGATGGGCTCTGGACGGAAGATGCTAATCTTGAAAGTGCGTTTTGTTCGTACCATTTCTGCTTTTAAATTTGATTGACCCTTCACGTACTCACACAAGTTTACAGGCGTACAAATCCTACACTGACTCCAAAAATGCAAGCAATGTCCCAGGTTACCTATGCCCATTCCCTTTGTGCCACTTATCACAGGGCAGACCCCAGAAAATCGTAGCATGAAAGTGTATCTGCATGACCTATTAGTAGGATAAAATAAGGGGGTTTATAGTAGAATAAAATACGTATGTAACAACCCAAAACGAACCCAGACTTGCTTTTCCTAAACAGGGTATTTTAAGTGATTCACAGAAACAGGCTTATGAAAAGCTCATTGTCCTGTCTAATTCTGTAACTGAATATTAGCTGTAAAATAGACCAAAGGATGATAGAAATGATTTTTTCTCAAAGGTTCTCGAGATATCAGATAGCTACAGTGAGAAATTTACCTTCTGCTCAGTTTTGACCAATTTTAAAATAGTGGAATTTACAATGCATAAAACTTTCAGTTCCAGTACATTCTTTTACAAAATCAATTAAGACTAAGCCTTGCAAAATGCTCCAACTTGAAAATTATACTCAGTATATGATGTATGAACAACAAAATTATCAAATATAATTTCAATAGACTGAACTTTGCCACCGTTTAGATTTCTATGTAGAAAGTAGTGACTTTTAGCTTGACTACAGGAGTTGTCCAGCATATTGAGAAAACAATGACAGTCAAGAAGACAAAGCCCTGATTATTATGTTTCTTCGCTATTCAGCATGTAACATTTAGCTATATCCGTGCTGTCGTAAAATCGATGTATAGCATCAACCCTTTGTTACACAAACTGCAATAAACACTAGAAGAAAGAGTTTGGAGTAAAAATGCAATAAATATTACTATAAGTCTTCTTTTACAAGGCTAGTTCAGCTTCTGAGTAAAAGTACCTTGATTATTGATCTTAGTGACGTTTATTATAACCATTTTCTAACATATTACTCAGTAACATGCTATTTGTGGAGGCTCAGAACTGCTAGAGTGAGGCAGTATTATTTATGCCGAATGTGGATACCCTCTACTCACCAGGCAGCTATTTTAATGTTTCTCTGAATCACCAAAATTCTTACCATTCCTTGATATTAATCTGGCATTTCTGAAATTAGCTAGAAGCCTTTTGTCAGTGGTATAAAAGGAGAATGAAATCTTAATAGACTACTGCAACTTTAGCCCGAATGACCTGAAGCAAGCTCAGCTGAACCCAATTTCAATTTCCAATATAATAGCAGTATCATTAATGTCTAATACTTACAAAATTATTGTTTGAGCTCTTTTACAGATTAAACCATTTTAAACAAGGGCACATGATACATAAGGCGTGATTTAAAAAGTCCTTTGAATCTGAACTGGTAAATTATATGAATGCACAGTTACTGTACGTGCAAAACCTGCAGATGGGCATGTGCAAAATGGAGAACTGCACATGTAATGGGCCACCATCCCGTATTAGCTTGTGCATATTTTGTGGATGTCATTTAAACTTCAAGGTGGTTTTCTCTCATTTTACTTTGCCCCTTTCAGATGTCTTCTCCAGCCCAAATAACTTCAGTAAGTATGAAAACATGTATATTAATAATAATTTTAGTAAATTACCTATTGTTGATGAAGATATTTGTCTAGGATTTCCTACTCCTCCTTTCCATGTCATTTTACAAAGAAGATACGCCAATGACATGGCAGTTTGTGACATCCCCTGCTTCTTCAGGAATAAATCTAATGCAGTTACTTTATTTTACAACCAAATAGGGGACTGGTCTGTTTAAGTAACACTGGTAGGAATTTTAGCTTCTTTGACACAATGTGAATTTCAGGCTCTGATGGCTAATATTGGGATTTTACTCCAGCTCTTCAAAGCAGATAAAAAAAAACCCCACAGACATTATCAACACATTTTAAAATGAAAATTAGCCTGCTTTTTCTTCGAGAACACTTCATGCAAACATTCAAGTGATATTACCTACGCTAAGAATCCTCATCAGGAGGAATCAATGATTTATTTACTAATTCACTGAAGGCAAAATTTTACAAGCCAGATAAAATATTACTACCTTGTTAACTCAGAAAATAACTTGACAACATTGAATTTCATTGTTTCTATGCTTTATTTATTATGTTGTCATCAAACCTGCAGTCACGTCAGTACAGAGAGATGCACTTTGCTATAGAAATTGCTATATAATTCCTATTGCTGTAGAATTCCTGTATGTTTTAATGGCAATCTACATATATGAATGCCCACTATGCTTAGGGCCTAAAACTGAAGATTAACCCTATGAGTTAGTGGTCTTCAGAGATCCACGATCCAGACTGGAGGAGTATTGAAATTTTTCTTATCTCCCAGGTCATTACACGTGAGGAGCTCCCCATGTCTTGGCTTATACTTATCAATAATCAAAATGAAAATGATTTTATTCGAAACACATCATATTCAGGTACTACTGTACATAGGCATTCCTTATCTGTGAGGCACAGAGGCAGATGCTTTCCGTGTACAAGGATGACGAATATAAATATATCATACAAATATTTAAATGCATCACATTTGTCACTCATAATCTGATTTCTTTTTCACGTCACAAAAAAACCTGATAGAACACAAAAACTGGTCGCAGATCCGCAGTCTTAACGTATCTCCTAGAAGTTTATCCTTGAAAGTAAGTTGCGAGACATCAAGATTCCAAATTTCCCTCTTTCCCCTCTCTCCATCCCTCCCCGCCCCCAACCACATCACTTGCAGCCCTGTTCTAGGAATCAGGAGATCTCATCTGAAATGGTGCCACCTTCACAGAAATCCCACTATTCTGGAATGATACCATCTGCTGCAGCCCAAGTGCTCTTTTTTTAGCCAAATAAGTTAATTATAATTAGGCATCCAACAACTGTGTGGAGGTAGGGGTAGAATTCGTTCTGAAGTTCAGCTGAGGTTCACCCAGCGTAGTTTGAACCAAATCCCATTCTCTCAGGAAGATTAAATACCAGAGATTTGAAAACCAGACACCACCATTTCTCAAAGAGGTTGGGGAACTCCCTGGGGAAATGTCTTAAATCTCAACCAGAACTCTTTTCATATGCCCATCAAATAAAACCCGATAAAACGGTAGCGTCAGACACCTTTTGTATTGTGCCAGAATCTAATGCAAGGTGCTTCCTGCAAGGCACGGGAAGGACCCAAGCCTTTCGTGCCGGCTGGTCGCTGCAGCCACCGCTGCAGGTGCTACAAGGGAGGCATTTCTGAGTTATTGCCTCTAACGCTGCTCTCCAACCAGGTGAAGTATTGTTCGATTGTCGCTAAAAGTATACTGTTGTCCTTTTTGCAAAACAACAAAAACAATGTTAATCAGGTTAATTCAATCATCTAAACCAAAACTGTTCATGCTTTTCTGCCAAATCAACCAACCACAGCAAAATCTGTTATCAGTGATTGCTCAGCTTCCAGTCAAAAAGCTTTTAACCCCCACAGTCCCAAAACTTCCCCTAAATAACCTTAAAATTATTTTTATATGGGTAGAATGAGGTTGTTTTCATGCCTCATGAAGGGGTAGTTGGGCTGCAGTATTTACACAGAACAAATACATGCTAACTGACTTAGCAGAGAGTAACAGACAGAGCAGCTTCCTAAAACAACTCAGCTGAATTAGATATTGGGAATTCCTTTGCAAATGAAATGTTTCCCTCAAAAGGAGCATAGTAACCAAAACTTATTTAGGCCTTCCAGGTTGTTTAACTAGGAAAAAAAAAATCCAAGCTTTTTTGCAACTCATTCATCAGTGTTTAAAGCTTCAAGCCTGCTCAGTGGAAGGGGCAAGGGCTGCAACAACTTATTTACACAATTATCTAAATACGATTAAACAGCTGATGGACAAATATTAAACTGGAAAATGTATAGTCATTTCAGCTTAATGTAATCCTCTTTCTGTAAACACCCAAGATGATTTTTTTTCAACCAGAACAGTCCTGACATCTCATAAGCCTAAGGGTGAATAGCAAGAGATTGTTTTTGATAGTTATAAATATTCAAAAGACATGCAGACCATCTGCTTTCATAATACAGGTAAAGCAAGACTGAAATGGTGACTGCTGTATAAAAATGGTTCTTTTAACAAAGTCTTCCTCTCCTCGAAAACTATAAAGACAGATGTCAAAAACTGTTTACACAGGGTAATCAGGAGCGTGCAAAATGTAATATTCCTTTTACACACAGTGCTTGCTAAAGAGATTTTTTTTTTCTTTTTCTTCCCATCTGTGTGTTGCAACACATTTCTACAAGTTAAAAACATTTTTTTCAAACAGAGATCTCATGAATACCCAAAAACATGCTATCTGGTTTCTGAATGCTAATTAATTTCAACTAAGGAATCTGATTTTTTTTCTGTAGGAAGGAATGCATGCTTTTGAAATGGAGTACTTCAACAATAACAGACACTGAAAACAGAACACCCCACAAGTTTAATTTTGCACTAGTTTGACACTGGCTATTTTCACAACTGTTTTATATTCAAACCCGCATCTGCTAAATCTGGCTATAAGACAGACAGGAACTATTCTCCTGCTTTTCAAATGAGATTTTATTTATGTTTTACTATTTATCAAGTTTTTCAGTATAAAGCCTTGTAACAACATAATGGTTTTGTCAAGTGGTAAGTAGAAGATACCTCATCT